TTTTTGTTTTTGGCATGGGCCCTATCCAATCAGCATAGCTGGTTAGTGAACTACGTACCTGTGTTATTCAACATTTTTCTTTTCTTTTTGAAATTAGAGTGAAAATTTTGGCCATTAGAGGGATCTGGGATATTGCTTGTCTTATTATAATTTGAATTCTGAATTTGAGTATTTAAGAAATACACGTTAAGGGCTAGTTTGATAACTATTTCAATTTTTCATTTTTTCATTTTTCATTTTTTGTGCTAGAGTATAGAGGAAAATGAGGGAGAATGGAAGTGAGAATGAGAGTAGAGATGAGATTGATAAGGAAGATGAGAGAGGAGTACCAAAAGGGAAAACTAAAACTAAAAATTGAAATATATTTGAAATTGTTTTTACTTTTGTTACTACACCCTCCCATCATCTCTCTCAATCTCATCCTCACTCTCATTTTTCTCTATATTCTATAACAAAAAATGAAAACTAAAAACTAAAAATGAAATGGTTATCAAACGGGCCATAATCTTTAAAAATTGAGTGGGCTAGGCATGCTTAAGAACAAAGAGAAGATAACAAGAAGACACACCAAACTTGATATTGATTCAAATCAACTGCATCATTTCATCCTAAAACAAATCAAGCAAAATGACATGAGACAATGTATTAACTACATGTCATTGAGTCATATGAAGTGTACCAGTTCATATCAGTTCATCTTGCGATTGAGTGCACTAACAGTTCTTGTGGCCCAAAAAATCTTAAGGAAGGTCTATGCATATTTTAGGGCCAATACATTATCGTGCTATAAAAGAAACTTAGCCAAGGTACGTGGAGGCCCATCAAATATGGCTACGAAGTGCCTATACAAGCTTTGATGTTTGCACCATGCCAAGTGAGACTACAATTTGGCATGTGGGGAGATCATGGTACGGGTATACCAAATTCACATGCCCAAGCTCCCACTACTTTCTCAAACATTATCTAATACAGCCTTAATCCACTACAATACAACGTATCCTGAGTATAAACATGCAATGCCAAGTGTCTCCCTTAGTGCCAGACCACTTGACAAGCTTAAGTGGGCTAAAGCCATATACATGCATATGGCTAGGTGAGCGGGTTGTGGTGTGGATGGGTACGAAGGTCACAAGGTCCACGAGAACTATTGGATGATGGAGACTTTGGACTAATTGGGAGCACCAAAGTCTAAGCCCATTCCTTTAGTTGTCCCATGTGGGTGAGCACATGAGATATTATATTAGATATATGCCCTAGAAGCCAATATAAAATGGATAATTCTAAGGAAATAATATATAATAATCAAAGGGGCAAGAACGTTGCTTTACACAAAGTAACAAGTCCATGGATTAAGATATAAATGGAAAGTGGTCTAAAGAAGTTAGATGCACGAGACCTTTCTATACATATAAATATCGTATCCTATAATGTTCCTGGTCATAGGATCACCAATTGGACAATGGTGACCCGCAAAGACTGGTACACATTATGTCTGCTCAATTGGGAGGATGACTAGTCTCAAGTCATTCATGTAAAGACACTAAGACAGATGTGTAGGTGCTCTATAGATGATGGAGTCCACTAAACGTGATCAACTCTAGAATTCTTGTATGGAAGTCTTACTCACAAGTGTCAAACAAAGAATTCTAAGTTCTGATAATGCAAATTAATCCTTAGACCTGAGACATCACAGTTGTCTTGTGTATATGTTGTTTCTATTTGAGAGCACTATACGGTCATATCAAAATGATGTGACTTAAAGGTGTTCCTCAGGATTCTCAGCGTGTACGCAGAGACAGGTGAATGTACAACAAAGAATCTCTACTCTAAGTAAGAAGAGAGAATACTCTAAAGATATGATTCGTGAATCTTTGGCCAAAGTATTGGATGAAAATTGAAACAAGATCATTTGCAATTTCATCAAATTGAATCATATAATCAAGAGATGTCATATTAGGGATTTTGACACAAGTTTACCATATCCCAAGAATATGACATAGACTATTGAATTAGAGAAGGATCGAATTGCATTGTAATCACAAACTGACTAGGTTCTCTAAATGAATTCTTTTTAGCTAGGGTAGTCATGACATACTGCTAAGTGTCACTCATGGCTTGTGGAAGCCCTGTAAGGACTAATTTTAATTAGCCTTCGCCAATAGGGAGAATTGTATGGAGGGATACAATTTACACTTGATTTAGAGTGAATCATTCATACCCACTGCCTTGCTAATTAGAACCTATAAGATCGCATACTAAAAAGGAATCGATTGGGAAATTATGAAGAGAATGAATGATTTTGTGACTTGGTCAAAGTCAAAGGTCAAAGTCAAAAGTCAAAGGCCAAATGTCAAACGGTTGACCCGACACTTGACACAGTCAACTAAGGATGACTGGGACCAACACTCGTTAGACAAGTGAGTGATTGAATTAGTCAAGTCACTAGAGTAATTAAATTGATTAGATTAATTAATTATTCAATTAAAGTTATGAAACTTTAATTAAAGGTCCCATATGACTTGGAAATTCAAAAGGGATTTGACCATATGGACTTAGGCACATATGTGACACATTATAGGATTAATGTGTTGGACCAAGATAGGAAAAGATGACACACAAAAGGAGGGGTGTGGCTACACTAGGGCTTGGGGGCATTTTTGTCACTCTTGTGACATTTTTGATCTTATAAGTGTGTAGCTATGGAATCCTATCATCCTAGGGTTTTCAAGTTGGTGAAATTGGAAGAGAGAAAACATCAAGCTCTCTCTCCCTAACCCCTTGAATCTATCACATCAAGTGAGGGTGCTAGCACCACTCTTCACTTGTTGTCTACTCATTCTCTCATTCCATTCAATCCTTGGTGAAGAGCTTTGGGGAGGTGCATATATATCTTTGTACCTATTTGGATAGCTACAAGGCGGAGAATCAACATCAAAGGGAGAGCCAACAACAAAGGGACCACTCCCTCTACTTGAACACCATTCTTGGTTTCAAGATTCGCTCCAAGGGTATGAACATCTTATCTTTCTCTCAAATAGGATTTAGAGAGTTTTTGGTGCACACCTTCATAGACTTATAAAGATTGGGACCAAATGAGACTTGCATGAATCCCTAGTTTATTTAATGCTTTCACTCTTACTTTGATTTCATATTAGATATGGCATGCTATGTGATTTATACTCTCAAAGTTTGGTTGTAGAGTTTTTAGAAATCTCTACACAACACCATTCCCACAATATTCCCTTCATATTCTTCATTCCCTTTACCCACTAGAAACAAACTGTTTTCGACACTCCCACTTACCTGCTGAAAATAAGCATGTTCTGGCAATTCCTTGTTTCCAACGCCTTTCTTTACTCGTTCGAAATATTGGCACCCTCTTTTATCCGTTGAAAACAAGACATTTCCAGCACCTCCTTTTACCTGTTAGAAATAAATGAAATCCCTCATCCTCTATAAATTGGCGTCCATGACCCAAGCAAAAGATATTCCCCTGGCTGTTGCAAGCATCCCAGTTGCCATCACTCTCCTCTTGGTTGCTGCATGCAGCTAGCAACCATCAACTCCTTCCTTGGCATAAGCCTCACCTCAAGCATAATCCCAAGCTACTCCTTCATCCTCCCACCTCTAGAACTCATAAATCTCTCTAGTTACATAGCTACAAACTACATAGCCTTAAAAGTCTCAAGCTTTTCTTTCCATGACCTTGCTATATGAAACCCTTAAACACCATAGTTAGAGCCTCAAGCTTCAAACCCTTTTTAGAGAGCCATGCACCTAGGCTCAATCATCCATAAATTCCATACCCACTACCCAAACTCCCACTTTCTTTCGTTTCTCAAACATGTGAATCATCATGCCACATCTTCAGTCCAAAACTTAGTTAAAGAAAATCTGAGTTGTCGCAAGCCACATCTCAAGTTATGTCTTCCATCACCATAGCAAAAACTTCATTCACTATTAAAATCTCTTAAAAGCCCTCATCTTAATTATACTTAACCATAGCCAATAGCAAGCAAAGAACAAGCATTCTCATTTGCTAAACTTGTGTGCCTTTAGCTCCCACAACTCATGCCGCTTATGCCCCTCATGCCAAGCCTTTTTCTAATTCTTTCTCAAGCATTGAATCTAATTTCCATTTCCAACTCAAGGAGCTAATGAGGAGTCCAAACAAAGCACTCCCTAAGATCCACTCTCTTTTGAAGTGTTTTAGGTCTAGTTCTTGAACTCAGGTAGAGAGGCAACATTATCCACTTGCGCTTTTGCAGAAGCCTAGTTCGCCTGGAGCTACCGAAATGAAAAAGCCCCAACAACAGTTTATTAACATTAATAAAAATGAGTTGAAATAATGTATTAATGCCACCCATATTTTATAGATTACAAAGAATGCATGTAAGAATTGCATACCTTCATTTCCATTTTTGGGAGTAGCTCCTAGAAGAGTACTCTTGTACTTGTTCATGATAAAAGTATCGCCAAGAAACAACATAGGTCTACACCATCAGAAAACCGTCAATGCAAGCCTTGAAATAAATAGAGATCAAAATCAATCAAAGCAATTAAAACCAGATAAAGAAATTGTAGCAGTTAGCAACACAAATTCGAATGAAGAGGAAAAGGGGAGCTATGTAATGAAGAAAGCAACAAAACTCAACTTCGATTGAGGGCAACAAGGTAAGTTCACCACCAAAATTAAAATCGAAATGGACAGCTCGCGAGTTATTGGCTTTTTCCTTTGAAATCTATACTAATGGGCATAATTGTATTTCAAAAACTAATCAAACTAAGGAAGTGGACAACTGTCCACTTTTGGGTTTTTTTGTTCTCTAATTTCAATGATTTAGTGTTTCTTTATATTAATAATGGTAGAAAATGAGGTTAGTAAAAAATTGGATTTAATCCACAGAAAGACGAAACGAAACAAGCCCGGCCTTTCTTTTTCACGCTTTTCTTGCTGCTTCTCTTTGTGACCGTTACCATCGCTCAAGGTGGAGTCTGCGATGCCGGAGTTTGTCTTCTCTGCCTGCGTGGGTGGCTCTGTCATGGAGGGCCCAGTTGCTGGTGAGAAGAGAGCTTGTACTCAGGAGATGATGGATGTTGGTGGAGTGGATTCAGATGACCCTCCTCCCCCTTTGCCTCCAATTTCCATGAGCTTCAAAGATAAAGTTTCTGGGGATTTTGGCATGGCTGAGGATCAATTGGTGATTGGTGATGATGATTTTGTCATCAAGCAAGGGGAGATTCCTTCAATCCAATTTTTTGATAAAGTTAAGAGCTGTCTGTATTGGCCATGGCGCACTGCTGTAATTCTTAAGCTCATGGGTCGGCCTCTGTCTTACGCTTTCTTAAGGACTCGTCTTCTTCAGAAGTGGGATCTTAAGGGGCCAATGAGCCTAATCGATTTGGAGAATAATTATTTCATTGCTAAGTTCCTGTTAGCGGAAGATATGCGGTATGTTCTCTCGGGGGGTCCTTGGCAAATTGCTGGGCAGTATGTGGTGACCCAACAATGGAAGCCTGGGTTTAATGCCAAAGAGGAAAAAATCACTCATATGACTGCTTGGGTTCGAATTAATGGCTTGAATGTGGAGTATTTTCGCTTTGATGTTATGGAGAAGATTGGGAATCTTATTGGTATCACTGTAAAGGTAGATGCTCATACCATGAGTCAAGCCCGAGGTAAATTTGCTAGAGTCTGTGTTGAACTTGATTTAGCTAAACCTCTAACCCCTTTCATTGAGGTGGAAGGTCGTTCTTATGAGGTTGTGTATGAGGGAATTCAATTAGTCTGTTTTGAATGTGGGTGTTATGGTCATGGTAGAGACTCTTGCCCTGTTATATTGCTAGCCAAAAAACAGGAGTCAAATTCAGGTCATGCTGAGAATATGGAGGTTAATACTTCAGATAAGAGTGATGATCTCAGTGTTAATAATCCTGTTACTAAAGATGCTGAGATTCCAGCTAAAATGCATGGGCAGTAGATGTTAATGAAACCAACAAGTTTTAATAAAAAGAAGGTGGTGAGTGATTCAGGGAAGGTTTCTGAGTTAGGTAAGGTGAATACAAAGGATTCTAGATCTAAGAATGGTGGTATCTTCTCTGGGTCTAGGTTCAATGTTCTTTTTTAGGAGAACAGTGGAAAGGATGATATGGAGGGGTTTACTCCTATTAGCACAAGGGGGAATGTGAAGTCTGCCACTCCTTCTGGCTCTGGTTTATCTTCTAAGGCTAAATCTTATGGGAAGCAGCCTTCTCATCCTCGTGAATCTTCGCCTTGGGTTTTTAAAAAGCCTTTGAAAGATATCACTAATGCTCCATTGCCCAAAGTGGGAGGTGTTGTGGTTAAGGGTGGCCCTAATTTGAGGAAGCCTTGGAGGAATAAAGTGGGGGTTAAACTTGTTAATGCCCAAGGGTTTGATACTGTGGGGCTGCAAATAAGTGGTTCTGAGGTTCAAGATGACGTTCATAGGGTTTTCTCGTTCAATGTTTTTGGTTCTCCTTTCGATGATTCTTCTTTGGGCAAGGCTGGTCTGGTTAATGGTCATGACCCACCTGATATTAGCCAAATGAAGCTGCATGAAGATGAGTCTTCTGGTGTGAGTATTGCCTCTGATGATATGGATCAACAAGGGGATTTCACTGATGCTGGTGTGTCTGATGTTGGTCTGCCTACTGGTATGGCTTGTGAGCATGATGTCTCTGCTCTTGAGGCAGAGCTATTGCATATTTAGGGTTTTCCCTAAGTTCTTCCCTTCTTCCTTATTTTATTATGATGATTGTGTCTTGGAATGTGAGGGGTGCTGGTAAGGATAGATGTGCTAGTACTATTAAGGACCTTAAGAAGATTTATGCCATTGATATTTTTGCTGTGCTTGAGCCTAGGATTAGTGGGCCTAGGGCTCTCAACGTAGCTAAGACTTTGGGTTTTTCTCATTACCATATTGTGGATGCTGTTGGGTTTTCATGGGGTGTTTGGCTTTTGTGGAATGAGAGTTCTGTCACTCTTAATGTCATTGCCCACTCTAGCCAATCCATTACTGCTCTTGTTTGTTTAGGGACTCAATGGTGGTTGCTCACTGTGGTTTATGCTAATCCTTGTCCTGGGATTTGAGAGTCTCTTTGGCGTTATTTTGATGGTCTTGCTAAAGCTTCTAACCTTCCGTGGCTTGTCCTTGGAGATTTTAATGACATTGTGTGTGCTAAGGAGAAATGTGGTGGTAATTTGGATACTGGAGGTCAGAGTTTCTGTGGGGACCAAATCTAACATAACCCATATGCCACAACTAAAGAACGTGGGATGAGCAAACTTCCCTCCCATTAGAGGAGTGCGGAACAAGGGAGACTCAAATTGCTCGTCTGATCCCATTACCACGAAGTGGAGGACGGGACGCGCAAAGCTAGGGAGGTGGGGCTAAACCCACGACCTCGGAATGCTATAAAAACCTAGCTAGACCTCCAGCAAAGGTACGTGAAATTGAAGCGAACACTAAGAGTACGTTGCACAAACACTGACTTGAGCGTCGGAGTGACTTTTGCAGGTACTCACCCCCTTTCCATCGTTCGATTCCGGGAACGTAATCCGGAGTTCTCTTTCGACTAAGGAAGCGTGCGGACTTCAGTCAAGAACCTGTGGAGGTATTTCTTCTTGAAAGAAATCCTGCTCCAACAGTTGGCGCCGTCTGTGGGAATCTCGCAAAGTTGATCATAAATATGACTGAACCTGCACAGGGAACTCCAAACACCTCCATCCCGGGGAATGCGATGTCCACTCCTCGACCAGGAAGCGCAAGGTCCAACGCCCAGGATGGGGAACCAAGTCTTGCTGTTATCCAGTTGAGGGAAATCATGAAAGAATTGCGCGAAACAAGAAAGGTAGCGGAGAAAGCTTTGGAGAAGGCGCAGAACACTGCTTGCCGTGAGGGCTCAAAAGAGGGCAAGAGGAAGCAGAGACATGAGGTCTCTGAGGGAGACTCCTCTAGCAGCACACACTCGAGCACCCGTGAAGTAGAAGGTCAAGACAAAGATCCCGACCCGCATAAAATGGCGAAAAGGGCGAAGGACACTGATTTGCGTAGTCAAATCGAGAAGATTATCAGAGGGTACAAGCCACAAACACCCGCTGAACTGGCTTTGGAGGCGGCGAAGGGAATCTGCAAATCGCCATTCACGGAAGATATCCTGAAAGCCAAGAAGCCAGTTAAGTTCACCCAACCCAAGTTTAAGCTGTTCGAGGGCACGACTGATCCCATTGAACACATCTACCATTTTCAACAACAAATGGTGCTCGAAGGAGACGACGAGGCCCTGTTATGTAAGTTGTTCCCCTCAAGTTTGTCGGGATCGGCCCTGATTTGGTTCAGACAGCTGAAACCAAGGTCTATCGTCGGCTTCACCCAACTCTGTGAAATGTTCATATCTCAGTACATTTGCAATCAGAAAAGAACGAAAGACGTCACGATCCTATTCAGCACGAAGCAAAGTACTGGAGAAAGCCTTAAAGACTACCTGAGGCGTTTTACGGAGGAAATGTCCACTCTTGAGGAATGTGATTCTCATACTGCTTCGCTGGCATTTCGTGAGGGGTTCATACATGGAACAAAAATGCACAGGTCTTTAGTGAAGACCCCACCAGTGGATATGAGGGAAGTGATGGCCCGAGCGGATGGAATCATCAGACTAGAAGAAGAAGAGCTCACCCAGTCAAAGCGCACCACTTCCACCATTGCAACCCCAAAGCCTCCACCGGAGCAAAAGGTGGAGACAAAGCGATATTCCTCAAGACAAGATTTCAGAAATGGACCTAAGCAGAGCCGCCCTTCACCAGGCTCACAGTGAGTTTAGCTAAACTCTTTCACGAGAACAAGGGCAAAGGTATATTCCGAACACCACCTGCGATCCGCGAATCCCCAGAAAAGCGCGACAGGAACCAGATGTGCGCCCATCATAATGACTTTGGACACACTACTGATGACTGCCGAAGTCTCAGGTATCAGGTGGAGGCAATGCTGAGAAAGGGAATGTTATCCCAATACCGAGTCGAACCTGAGAATAGGGCGGGTCAAAAACAATGACCGGAAATATCGCAAATGAAGCACTGCTGGAGATCAACACCATCCATGCCGGTCAAATCCCGCGAAAGGAAGAGAGGCTCGATCCCGATTCGAAAAAAGACAAGCTAAAAAGGTGAGACGCATAAACGGGATCGCGTTTGCCTCTGAATCTGCCAAATCCCTGGAAAAGATTAGAGTCATCTCATTCACGCAAAAAGACATGGAAGGAATTGAATTCCCTCACAACGACGCGCTGGTGGTGACCCTCCGCGTTGCCAATTCGATGGTAAAAAGAGTGATGATTGACGGGGGAAGTAGCGCAGACGTGTTATTCTGGAGCACCTTCAAGAGAATGAAGCTAGATGAAAAGGAGATTCAACCAAACCCAACACCGATCTACGCATTCGAAGGGACGAAAGCGCAACCAATCGGAGACGTGACCCTGCCAGTCATTGCCGCAGGTAAGACCTTATTCATTACTTTCGTAGTTGTGGAAGCGCCGAGCGCGTATAATGCTATAATGGGAAGGAATTGGATTCATCGAATGGATGGAGAAGCATCGACACGTTGTGAAGTGATGAGGTGCATATCTGAGGATGGAAGAACCACAATTGATATCAAGGGGGACCAAGTGGAGGCCAGAAGATGCTACAGCATAGCAACTAATCCTAAGGCTGCGACTTCGCAGCAGAGCGAGGATTTATAGCAATTAATGGAGGACTCACCAAAACGAGAGGAGGAGGATAACTCAGAGCTTCCGACGATCGAACCACTTAGGGAAGAAGTTCTGGATCCTTCTTATCCTGATAGAAAGGTGTTGGTGGGCTCCCTCCTATCTGAAGATGAGGTAGAACAAATAATGAAGTTATTAAGAGAGAATAAGGACGTGTTCGCGTGGTCGCATGCGGACATGCCGGGAATCGATCCGGAGATCGCGTGTCATCGGTTGAACGTTGACCCAAACCACCCCCCGTATCAGCAGAAGCAGAGGAGGTTCGCACCTCAGCGGAACCAAATTATTAGCGATGAAATGGACCGATTGCTCGAGGCAGGATTCATTCGAGAAGTATGGTGCCCAACCTGGGTCTCGAATGTGGTGGTAGTAAGTAAAAAGGATGGGAGGTGGCGCGTGTGCGTAGACTACATCAACCTGAATAAAGCGTGCCCGAAAGATTGTTACCCGATACCAAAGATTGATCAAATGGTAGATGCTACTGCCGGGTATGAGCTTCTTTCATTCCTGGACGCTTATTCGGGATATAATCAAATCCCAATGGCAATTGAGGACCAGGAAAAGACGGCGTTCATCACCGAGCGGGGCTTGTACTGTTACACAGTGATGCCATTCGGGTTGAAGAACGCAGGGTCGACGTATCAAAGATTAGTGAACAAGATGTTCAAAGGCTTAATCGGCAAAACGATGGAGGTTTACATCGATGACATGGTCGTCAAGAGCCAAGAAAAATCCCAACATGTCAGGCGCCTGGAAGAAGTTTTCAATATACTGAGAAGATACCGCATGCGGCTTAACCCGAAGAAGTGCGCATTCGGTGTCTCGTCAGGACAGTTCTTGGGGCAAATAGTGAACAAGCGAGGTATCGAGCCCAACCCATCGAAGGTGGAGGCGCTGCGGAATATGCCTGATCCAAGAACGCCTAGAGATGTGCAGGTTCTGACTGGGCGAATAGCAGCTCTCAGCCGATTCATTTCAAGATCGTCAGATCGTTGTAAGCTATTCTTCCAGGCAATTAGAAACAAGGACGGAAGCGTATGGGGGCCAGAACAAAGAGAAGCCTTCGAGCAGCTGAAGAAGTACCTCGCTAGTCCCCTGACCTTGACTATTCCAAAGCAAGGTGAACCTTTATACCTATATATGGTTGTCACTAAGATTGCTGTAAGTGCTGTACTATTAAGGGAGGAAAATTCAATCC